GCTGCTGTACCAGAATGAAGGAATGAAGCAGCACCATATGCAGGACATTTTTGTTAAGTGTCCCTTCCCTGGTCGTAGCATCATCATGTTGCGAAGCAGCTTTTGCTGCGACTAGCATGCCAGGATCAGCAGGTATGCTGAAGGAACCATGATAGCAAACCTACTGAAGTCAACATGTATGTTGCGCACAACCGAGGACCACCATGCCAGAGTTCGTCCCTGTCAAATCGACAGTGCAGCAATATTCATGAGCTGAAATTCACACAGGCATCCAGCAAGACTTAGCACCCTTACGGCTTATAATGCAACCTGGACATGCCATGGCCCTGGTTCTAGGTACACCACGAGTTTTTCTTGCTGATACCGTAAGGGCAACCAACAAACTCCAACAATCTAACGGATCCCTTGAGTAAGGCCCCCCAGGCCCACAAAAATGGAACCACCTTTTGGGGACTCAGGAAACCACTTCTTCTTACTAGGAATTAGTAGGGAATATTATATATAGGGACTATGATGTAGGGATTATATTCCTTATTGCCTACTCGGCCTACGCTTCAAAAAAAAAATCCAGATCACAGGGCAGCCCGCATTTTCGACTTGCCTGTTTCGCTTCTGGGAACAAGGAGTCTTGCCACAGCCAGAACCATGACTAGCCACATCCTACGGTCGATACTAAAAATCCTGCATGACCCGTACGTCATACCTTGGGAATTATGGGATGCATTCTAAGGTCAGGCAAGATTTCTAGTATCAACAGTATTCTGGGCTTCTGTTCAGGAACTACAAGTTAAGCAGGAAGTCACATTATCCGCTACATATCCATATCATGGCAACATTGTTTGAGTTCCTTAAAAGCAACCCAGAAATTCAAACTGTGGTGTCTGGGGTTTAGGCTAAGGCAGGTGCATGGCCAAACGCTCATGCAGTCGGTCATACGCTACACCTCAATACCCAACACGCTGCATGGACTGTGAGTTGTACACTCGACTACTGGAGCATTTTCCTACCCGTACGCCCGTCCATCACCACATTGAAATGAAACTCCAAAGAAACATGGAACCCCTAAAAGTGCCCTTCAAGACCAGTGTCCACTTTAAATAAGGCCACCTGAGTTTTCATGGTGGTTTGGGGGAAGGTAAAGGGTTTAAGGTTTGGGAGTTCGGGTCTAAACCCCAAAGACACCGGGTTCCGAAAGACTTCTCACTTGCAATCCCACACCTTCGTATCTTGAAGGTTTGCTTCTCGGCCAACCTTCTTCTCCCCCCAAATACCTGGGTCATTAACGTTTAGGGTTTGAGGATCAACTTTGGATAACTTGTGAAAATGACCTTTGATTTTCAGTGGGCTCAAGCTAGCAGCTTCCTTAAACAAAGCCTACACGCCAAACCGTAAGCCCGAGCAGTCGCTTGAGATCTTGACCCTAAACTCCCTACCCTGCCCCAAAACCATGGCTAGGACCTATATAATGAATGAATTCGTTTAGGGTTTAGGGTTTATGTCATTTCCTAAACGATTTACCAGGGGCACCCAAAATCACCTCAAAAGGATCCTTGGCAAGCCCTTTATGACACTAATACCTATGTGATCCCTATCAGATCATGGGGTAAGATATACCCTACACCCAAAAACCCTAATACCCCTTAAACCCAACCCTAACACCCTCGAACCCCTTAAACGCCGAAACCCTATAAACCCTACACCCTAAACCCTAAACCCCTCAAACCCCTTAAACCCTAACACCCTAAAACCCTAAAACCCTCAAACCCTAACCCCCTTAAACCCTAAACCCTAAAACCCTAAACCCCTTAAACCTCAAAACCCTAAAACCATAAACCCCTTAAACCTCAAAACCCTAAAACCCTAAACCCCTTCAACCTCAAAACCCTAAAACCCTAAAAACCTTAAACCCCTCAAACCAACGCCTTTCCAAGCATAGCCCAGAGTCGCTGCAAGTCAGCCTTGCTACCACAAAAAGTTCCCATCCACTTGTCAATGGGAACCTGGGCCATTAGGGTTGAACAGCAAGGGTTCATGGTTTAGGGTGCAGGGTTTAGGGTTCAGGGTTTAGGGTTCAGGGTTTAGGGTTTAGGGGGGGGAAGTAGTAACTGGGTTAATAATGGGGATAACTAAGGTTACCATATGGGATACTAACCTACTTACTAAGTCCCCCCGACCCTCCAAGTAGGGTTTCAGGTTATATGGAACAAGTGCGGTTGATACTATAATTTCTGAAAGTTGGTGTACTATAATACCATGACTCCCTCATCCACAAGGTACTTAGGGTCATACATGATTTTCAGGATCCACCGTATGTAAGTAAAGGGATTATATACATGGGGAGATATGCAGGGTTTAGGGGTTGTGTGCATCTATATATATATATATAGAGGGTTAAGGAAATGGAAGCTACCATTTCATTCAGGGTTTAGAGTGCAGGGATGTAGGTACACACTAAACTTCTATCCACATGTCAATGGCAACTTGTTTGTGTTTAGGGGCTGGTGGTTTAGGGTCGCATCATGCCGGGCCTACATCTCTTGCAAGAAATTCCTGAGGAGAACGTGGCGAATACACGGGATTTTTTTACCGTATGTGTATCTATGTATGCATTATAAGGACTCTATAGGGATTGGGCTGGATAACTAGAACAAGAATGTTTACCCTAAGCCCTAAACCCTAAACTCTAAACCCTAATGTTTAGGGTTTAGAATAAGGACCTAGGAGCCGAAATATCTAGTGATCCACTTGTCAATGAACACCGCCTTTGGCTGCACTATAGTTTAGGCCCCTATATAATTAGAGTAATGGAGAAAGAGACGGAGGGAAAACAGACAATGAAATGGAACGCGGGATGATGTAGGTAATTAGGGTTTAAGCTTTGTAGGCATTTCTACGAAATACTACTTATCGAACTTGGAATTTAAAGGCGATTATAGGACGCTACGGTTTTTCCCCACCTACATCAGAGTTGCGGTTACTTTTGGGGTCCAGGGTTCAGGAGTTTGGATTGCAGGGTAGGTCGAAGACTTGTCATGTGGTCTTATAGGGGAGCATTATAGGGGCTATTAAGTGGGATACTAAGCGTTTAGACTACAGCTCATGTAGAGTTTTTATATCTTCTGAGAAAAGCCAAGTTGCAATGGTTCCCTACTTGGGTTCAACAGTATTGTGTGTACTTAGAAATCCCAAAGACCCAGCATATCCAATGCAACACCCCAAATTGAGCGGAGTGTTATGTTGAGAAAATAATGCAGAACATAAATATACATGTGTATATATATAACTCATTATAGTACTTGCCATTTTCTTTCCCATTCTCCCCATATAACGCCCATTATATACCCATTATGGTAACAATAGACCCTAAGCCCCAAACCCTAAACCCTAAATTCTAAACCCTAAATCCTGAACCCTAAACCCCAAGCCCCGCAACCTCAAATGCTAAGCCAGGCACGTGCATCGCTCCAAAGTTGCAGTCGAAGTTCTCATGGTGCAACTGATGGAAGTAATCCCCGGACCCCGGCCATTGAAAGCCATCATGACCTAGAGTCGATACAGGGTTTAGGGTTTAGGCGAGAGGGGTTCAGGGGTTAGAGTTTCAAGGTCTCGGGTATTAGGGTTTAGGGGCTGATGGCTTTGGGGTTAGGAGCGGGGATGTAGGCTTGGGGTCTAGAGCTTGGAAAGATCTTCTTGCGAAGTTCTTTATCAGAATTGTACTGGGCACTGATACCATAGATCCTAAACTCCCTAAACCCTATGAACTGTTTTGGGCACCCCTGCCCCTCGCCTAACCATGCGCCAATGGCGCAGTCGAAGATGCACGCAATGGCTATCCTGGGTTGCTGTTCAGGAGCTGAAACTAAGCTACCTACCGGGGGTTATGAAGGAATATGGGAATCTGTCATACAGGAATCATACATATATATATATAGGAATTATATAGGGATTACATTCCCTTATTCCCTACTAAGAACCAGTAAGGCTACTGCAATAAGGAAGCCACATTACCAACTATGCATATTCTGGAAACTTGGCCCCGCACCCTAAACAACCCCAATTGACCCCCTATAAGCCCCTTTTGAACGGAACCCGTTGAAGTAACTTAGCTACGCTCCCTAAACCCTAAAGCCTCAACGCCCTAAACCCCAAACTCCTAGACCCTAAACCCTAAACCCTAAACTCCTAAACCCTAGACCCTCACCCTTGAACTCCTAAAGCCTAACAGCAGGCCAGTCTCGTGGGATGTAGGTGAACGAGCCATGCCATGAAAAAAGAAGGCATACCATAATACAAGGTGGCCTCCACCTCATGGGTTTAGGGGTTAGGGGCTTAGGGTTTAGGGTTTAGGGGTTTAGGGTTTAGGGGTTTAGGGTTTAGGGTTTGGGGTTTAGGGTTTAGGGGCTTAGGGGTTTAAGGGTTTATGGTTTAGGGGTTTAGGGTTTAGGTTAGGTGGACCCCCCACCCTGTAATAGTGACTATAAGGGAGACCAGGGATCATACTAGGGTCCTACTATATACATTCCTATTATCTCGCTATTGCAGGGTGGGGGGGTCATCTACCCAGATTTTAAAAAGAGAAAACGAATGGATTTAAGGGACCTCCACCTCCAAGGATGGAGGCTTTAGGAGCTTCAGGTTTAGGACTTAGGGTTTCGAATTTCAAGGTTAAGGAGCTTCTAGAGGGTTTAGAGTTCATATGCTCGAGAGGTTATCTTAGGGTTTACAGGGGATTAAGTTCAGAGTCTGGGATTTAGGCTTAGGATTTGGGACGCTTACCGCTGAGCCCACATGCAGGTTTCTCAGCACAGGGGCAACCCCTATCTCCATCTAAGAAGTTCGAATCCTCATTATGGTGGATACCCTCCCGAAATCAGGAACCACATCTTTGAGCAACTCCCAATGAACCCTAAAAGGTCGACAGCCCCTTTAACGCACATAGCTTCCAACAACATAGACTACATGACCTCCTAATTTCATGCTTGAATCAATCCCCGAGGCACAGGGTGCATATTGGTACCGGAGAAGGCCGTGGGCAGGTAGGATTTGTGGTGCTGAGCGTGAACATGTCTGTACAGGAACTTCCCAAAATCTGGTATGGTCGTCGTCCTCCATGGATGAAGCGCACGGTGCATGAGGTAGAAATGAGGAATGCGCCAATGCGTCACAGTCAGTGTGAACACCAAGCTTTGTACAGGTGCCGCGCTAAGAGTTCTATGCATTGGCAAGGCCCCTGTGGCCCAAAAGTGGCAAAGGAGGATCTCAACCACAGTCCCACAGACGGTGGCAAGCGTGGTTGCCAAAGCGTCGTGACCTGTTTTTTCTCAAGTCAGGCTGAAAGGAAGTCCTCCCATATGAGCTACAATCAATATTCCCACATAATTGATGGACGTAGGCTCTTATCAGGGCCCTTAGTGCTCTACCAAACTACCCAAAAGACCCCTACAGCCACCCTTGATGGTCCCTTGGTAACCCTGAAACTAACAGTAGCTCCTAGGAGCCATAGTCTAAACTCCTAGTGTCCCCTTAAGAACCCCTATAGTAGCAGGCTTGAGGGTTTAGGGTTTAGGGTCCCCCATATAATCCCTTATGGAATCTCCTTTAAGGAGTTTAGACTATGGTTCATAGGCCCCCAAGGCCAGTAGTCCCACCATCACCCACTGTCCGAGTCCCCACCCCACTGTTCCTACACTACGATGGATACCAAAAATCCCGCATGACCCTAGGTACCTTATACCTTGGGAATAATGGTACTAAAGTATACTAGGGTCATGCAGGATTTCTTGGGAATAATGGTACTAAAGTATACTAGGGTCATGCAGGATTTTTACTATCAACAGTATTTCACTGGAACTCCTACAGAACCCCTTTAGGTCCACGCGGGATCCTTTAGGACGCGCGCTTTTTGGGAAACTTCCCTAAGTCCTCCCCCCAAACAAAGGACTCATGGTTTCACCCAAGACCCCAGACCCTAAACCCTAAACCGCAGAACCCCAAACCCTAAACCCCTAACCCCGGGCACGTAGTTGGCTCATCGGAGGATACTTGGGGTTCATCTTGAATCTGCGGAGCGATTCCTTCAGCGGAGATAGGTATAAGAACCAGTCCCAAAAGCCGCAGATTATCCTTGGTCTCGGTAGGGTTTAGGGTTTAGGGCTTAGGGTCTAGGATTTAGGGTTTATGGTTTGTTTATAAACTACATTATAGTAGGGTATATATTGGGGGCATATAGGGGCTACATAGGGATAATGGAAAAGGAAATGGAAACTACTGTAGTATATAAAGTTTGGGGTTTAGGGTTTAGGGTTTGGGGCTTAGAGTTTCCAGTTTAGGGATTCTGCCATAAGAACTTGGGCATCTCATGAATCTCATGGACAACGACATGGAATATAAGATGGAAACTAGGGGTTTATGTCTAGATTAGGCATATATAGGGAGGGATTGAGGCTCCAGCGTGCACTTACAGTCTGAAAGTAGGCTTTGTAGTAATGGAAAAGAAAATGGAACTGCTACATTATCTGGGGTTATACAGGTGATCCTATAGGTACCCGCTCCTCCATTCTATGATAAAACCAGCCAGTCATTGGCAGAATAACCCGGATCCCTCAGGGTTTAGGGTTTAGGGTTCCGAAGTGGTACTGGGGTCAGACCTGGTCATTTTGAGGAGATTTCCACTTTTGGGTCCTTAGGGGGTCTGGGAAGCACACAAACCTGCCCCAATGGGAGTAGACAGACTTACTTAGCAAGTAACAGAAAGCTATTATATATGAAGCCCCGGTAAGCCATACCACAACCCCACTCACCAACCTACTTACCAAGTCCCCCTCACCTTGTGGGCATATCCTGTACAAAGAGGCCTGTGTCCCAGACCTCTGGCTCTAGTTTCCTTGCCGGCTGTCAATAGGAAATGATGGAAGGGAAAAGAAAACTGAGAGCGGGGATTATGTATGGGCTGCTATGGGGATCCATTCATCCATTCCCTACGAACAACCAAGTTTAGGCAGGGAAAAAATTGCTTTTGGTGGAGGAAAGCCTGCACCACTTAAAGTTCCTAAGCTAATGTGATTCCTTGGATTTAAACCTGAAGAACGTACGTAGGGTGGTGCAGGATTGCTTCCAGCAAGAGCGTGGCGCAACATGCAAGAGGAAAAACCTGGAGGAAGCCTGATACACTCAAGACTCTAAACCCCAAACCCTATAGACCCTACGCCCTCAACCTCGTTCCAGGTAGGGCTCCATGTGGCCAGCAGATTACGTAGCAAGATCGGCCACATCCAATCAAAACTGAAGGTGGCTCCACGATGGAAGGCTGGATAGTCCTACTCTGGTTAAGGCTTTAGGATTGGGGGCTTTGGGTTTAGGGCTCAGGGTTGAGGGAGACTATCGTAATCATTATCATATTGGGTCTATTACTACTGTTACTGGGTGGGGACCGAACCTATGTCCTCCACCTCCTAGACTAACCCTAAACCCTAAACTCCCAGTCCTCCCCCTCGTAGACTGTATAGATGGCCACATAGGCGAGCAGGAAGGCACGTGCAGACGAAGCCATGGACGTCACCTTTGCATTTTGAGAGAATGCGAACCAGGTGGATGTAAGGGAATCAGGCTCCAATGGGTTTTTGGTTTGCAGGTTTAGGGAGTTTTACAAGGCCCAACCCTCCTCAAGAAAGGACCCTGCCCTGAAAGAGCCATATCTACAAGTCATAAAGTCCTTCTTTAGTTTGGGGGTTGGGGCAACCAGAGCCCCCTCAATACGTGGCCAGCGATTTTTTTGATAACTGAACCAATCAAGATAACACCATAACCAACAGGAGGATGCAATCTTACTCCACATGAGGGAATTACAGTATCCTAAACCCGTGAACCTAAACAACATAATTACTACTCAAAAGAGTACATGATGCTAAGGGTGCAAGGTCTGCTTCAGCTTGCACGCCCTGAGGCTAGCGTGAACAGGGGCATCTGTGGTTCGGCTTCATGAAGGATGCTTCCCTTGGGTTACTTGGGGGATAAAGCAGGGGTTGAATGGGGTTACTAAGGGGTTCTACTCTGCACGTGGCTTGCAAGCTACGTCCTGCTGAGCTCATACCCAAACCCTACCCTAAACGCTTATACCCTAAGCCCCGAACCCGAGACCCTAGACCCCAAAACCTAGACCCCAAATCCTCAACCCCAAGCCCGCAGCCCAAACCCCGAACCCAAAGCCCTAAAACCGACTATAACATCACCATTTCCATGTTTCCTCCACTTCTCTATTTGATTCTCCTTTACGGGCCTTAGCCCCAACATATCACTATAATGTCCACATACATTCCTATGTGACCCTATAGAATCCTACCCTAAACCCTAAACCCCAAACCCTAAACCCTGAACCCTAAACCCTACAAACCCTAAAAGCCCCCTCTTGAAAGCAGGTGGCATGGCCCACCAGGTCTAGCTCTGCTGTCGCCACAAGCCTGGGTTGCTTTTTTAAGGAGCGTAGCTTATAGTCCCCCTTAAGTATATAGCATATGGGGTTCATGGCCAAAGCCATATCACAGCTATCTAAAGGGGTCTATAAATTACCATATTATGGGTGCTTAGGGTTTACGGTTTAGGATTTAGGGTTTGGGTGTGTCGGGTTTAAGTTACCATAGGGTTTACGTTACGATAGTATAGGTATAGATGATTTAGGGTCTAGGGTTAAGTTACCATATGACGGGTATATACGATTTCAAATAATAGGGTTTCCTCACTGTAATGACTTACTGTAAGTTCCTCAACAGAAAAATCCTAAACCCTTACCCTAAGGCTCCAAATAGCCCAATGTAGGTCATATTTATAAACTTTGGGGCCCAATGTAGGTATTATTTATAGACATGCAGCGCTAGGGTTATAGAGACCCTAAACCCTCAACCCTTAAACCCTAAAAAGTCTCCTTAACGGCAACCCAGCAAGCGCCTGTGGCTGAAGCTTCCCCTGTGTGGCGTTGAGCACGTGTCCGGCAGGCCATAGCCTTAAATGGGTTTAGGCTTTAGAGTCCCTTTAAAGGAGACAAATAGAGATATACTACTATTTGCTTAAGAACCACCCATTTTTTAAATCTTGCTTGTAAGTGTAACATGGGGATTATTCATTTTTTCAGTGTTCTTAAGCAAATAGTAGTATATAAGGATGGTTTTGACATGGGTGTTGTTTTCAGGATTTGCATAGGCTTTAGGGTTTAGCAATTGGGGGAGGTTCTCAAAATGGGTGCGGGTCCCTTTAGGTCCCTGCAAAAGTCACCTCTACGGCGAATGGAGGAAATTTTGCACCCGCTTGTATACCCCATAACCCAGGGGTTACAGCATTTTGAACACCCTACGTGATTCATGATTTTTCTATCCACAGCAGGTCCCTGAACAGCCATGTCTGGAGAGGTCTAGAAAGAGAGAGAGAGAGAGAGAGATGTAGATATGTATATAAATAGATATGGTAATATACATATTTGGTTCAGGCTTTTTAAATTTCATGACCAAATTTATGCTTTGGGGTTGAACAACAAGGGGATTCAAGGGACCCTAGACCTTAGGGAGTATACAGACACTGTTTCGTTTCCAGAACCTTCCATAGTAGGTAGGGGGGCTGTCAAAAAGTTATGGTGTCGAGTCCCTATCACAATGCGGTCCCTAATTTTTCGGGCTATCCCGCAGGAAAACACAATGTTGACATTTCCCGCACGCTTCTGCTCAGTTTGGAACGGTGAAGAAAATGGAGATGACTACTTGACTACGGAGCCCTGGACTAAATTTGTAGTATATCCCTTAATAGGACCCCCCCAAAACCCTATATAGTCCCCTATAGGTCCCCCCCCAACCTAAATCTTTGTCCTTAGCTCACATGTTGAGGTTGTGCAATTGAGAGTTGGGAGGCAAAGGTTGGCTCATCGTGGAATACCCTGTAGTAGTCCTTTGAAAAAGCCCGTAGTATGGCATCCGCAATAGATTCTATAACCTGTTCCCAATTCCCAACTCAACTCTCAAACCTTGAGCACCGAAGCCAACGTGATATGTCAGTGGTTTCGGTTTTCCCGCACTCTCCACTAGGTATAAGCAAGTAGCAGTGGCATGTACCATGGCTGTCCAGCGCCCGCCATGGCTACAAAGGCGCCACACAGCCAATAGCTGTGATGTAGGTAGGCGAACAAAGGGCCCCTACACTGCGGATGAACAGCCAACAAGGTCGAACACATCAAAACTAGGCCTCCCCCACCCCCCCCCCCCCAAAAAAAGGCAC